TAATTCGGTATCCAAATTATACATTACAAAAACAAAGCATACCATCCATGTCCAAGCAAGGTTGGGGGACTTCAACAAAAGGATAAGGGCTCGAACAGGAAGCTCTTTAGGCAAAGTTTTCAAATATTCCAAGGTCGATAACTTTTCTGCCGACAACATTTCTTCAGGGAATACGTCATAATGGCAAGGTACTCGGGTCCAATGAAATGGAAAGAGAGGTTTGTTTTCATTATCAAAAAAATATTTTTTATCAACAGGGTGCATGGTTACTTTAAAGTAGCTGGTCTTAAAACTCTTGAAGTAGGAAGTGTAAGGCTTAAAAAGCGGCAACTCAGCCTGCCTTATTAATGAAACCTATCGTGCTTTGTCTGAAGGATGGGTACAAAAAAAATGAAGAAATAAACCTATGTTAGGCTCTATATAATGAAATTTATACAAAATTCTGAATGCTTGCATTGCCACCCACCCATTCGAATGAAGTTGTGTCGGTGCAACATTCAAAACCTTTAACACACTCATCTGGAAATCGTCAAAGGAAAGTTTTATACCTAATTCCCTAAACATACATTCGTATACAAAGAAAGTGTCGACCATCTCAGCACCATCTCCTAAGAATACAAGTTCAAGATTGCTGGAACCATCCCCCTGGCAAACATTTATAGTTATAGGATAGGGATCCAGAGCCTCTCACAGTGATATATCACAGTGGTCTACAAAGGCTTAAAGTCATTTATCATGTTGAAAACGTGAGAAGTAGATGGCCACTTAACCATTTACCCATTCATAGCCAAGAATCGTACAAGGCGAAAAAGTTGGCCTCTCCCTTGGGGGTCTAGCGTTCGGTAGAGGTTCACTAGACACAGAACCATTGCTGACAGCATCAGACGACTCAACATTGTCTTCACACTCCCTAACGGTCGCATCAAGTTCACCCATAACATCATTTGGCCTTAAAGAAACTTCTTCAAACCTTTCGGTCCCCCCAAAGTCCCCAATCTCAACAGAGTAGTCGATCTTGTATGGTCCGATAACGAATCCTCCCACTCGAGGGAATAGGTCATGAGAAGAACAAGAAAAGAAAAGAGCAAAATAAACAAGCGTGTCTTAAGATGTCGAGAGAAAGAAAAACTTCTAATAAGATATCAGTGTATACCCCTCGGTTTAGTGCAGAAAACGTATATGATACTTAGATCACCACGTATTTATAGGGCATATGGTTTCAGGCAAATGAAGAGTCGCATTCCTTCCCAACTGTCAGATCTTTCTCAGATTAACGGATATGATCAACCAACCTTTCGTTTCAAATGCACGAACCACGAGAAAAAACTCTAAAATTGCTGAAACCCTAAATTGATGAAACCCTCATTTCTGAAATCTTTCAACATTTTTTGTTGAACATACACTCAGTCTTAACACCAATAAAAGGAACCTAAATACTTGTTCGGACGAACACCGACATATCATTTTCAAACCAAATGCATTATCGATCAAAAACATCATTTTCACCTTCATGAAGAGCATCATATCACTACCAAAAAAGGGCTAGCGGGACTTAACAAGCCCTTAAGTTGTACCTCATCAAGCTTGGGGGCTAGTGTATTGGATAAGATATCACTCAATTTCAAAGATAAAAGAAAAAATTCGAATACTCTTTCAGCCCAAATAAGATGAGCACCCTCCCAATCAGATTAAGAATGAATTAAAGGATAATTAAACTGATTAGGATAAATAATCAGATCATTATTTACTTAAATTAGAAGGCTAAAAACAGGGCTAATCTACAAAGCCCATTAGCCCATAACATTGCTTATAAAAGGAAAGCAAGAGGTACAGGTAAGGGGTTGACTTTCAAATATTCAATAGTATTTATTGCCTAAACCGACACCTGACTTTATCATCTGAGTGTCTTTTGCAGGTACATCCTCCCACGTAAGATAGAGAAAAGTCAGTGGTACTTGCAAGGACGTCATCTTATCTCACAACATAGGAGTATTGAGAAGATCAATGTATCCGTAACAAGAACAGTTTGTTAATTCAATTTTTATAATTTTAAAATAATTAGCGAGTGTTGTTCAATTTTACTATTTTCTATTAAGTTTGTAATCTTTTATTTTTAGTTGGTGTAAGACTTTGATTATAAAAGTCTATTGTATTAGTTTTTCAGTTTATGTAAATTAGAAAGTTTTCATTCTTTTCTCTTTATGCCTATCTTGTTAGTTTGAGTATCAGAAATCCTAACATTGATATCAAAAGCTTGATGATAAAGGACTGTGTGTGTGAAAAGAGTAAGATTGAAGGATGAGATCAAATGGAAATTTCTTTGTGAACTTGCCTATGTTGGATGGCAAGAACTACGATCAGTGATGTGCCAATATGAGAGTAATTTTTGGCTTTCAAGATATTTTGAATGTCATCAATAAAGGTATTAAAGAATTAGAGTAAGGTGCAACAAAGAGTTAAAGAAGCGGGACTATAAGATTGGACTCTCTTTATTATTCATCAGTATGTTGACTCCATTAATTTTGACAAGATTGCAAGTGCAAACAGTGGAAAAGGAGCATGGGAACTTGACAAACACAATGCTGGGGCTGAGAAATTGAAGAAAGTAAAACTTCAAACTATGAGGAGACAATATGATTTGATCTAAATGAATGATCAAGAAATGATTGCAAGTTATTTTGGTAAGTTACAAATTTTGACAAATAAAATGAAAACATGTAATGAGAAAGTCTTAGATATTATGATAGTGGAGAAGGTATTAAGAACTCTTGCTCCCAAATTCGGTTACATAATAATTTATTTGTATACAAGTGTATTCGTCAAGTAATAATAAAATGAGTTTTCAAATAAAAATTTTGAAATATCATTTCACAAATTATTTCTAATGATTATTTTTAATGATCAAAGCTATCATAATTTAATTGTTTAGATTTAAATGATGTAAAATAAAAAAAAATCGGAAGAAACCTAAAAGATAAAAAGAAAATATCACAACTTCTAACAAAAAAAAAACTATTCGAGATGAAGTTAAAGCTTGTGATTTTATATTTATACATATTTAAAATGTGTTTAAGGAATTTTTTATTAAAAAATTAAATGACGTGGTGAATTCACTCTTTGTTAACTTGCTTAACAAAAAATTGTATAAGAACTTATTGTAAAATATGTTATATTTGTAGACACTAATCACCTATTTAAGTTATAATAAAATATTAAAAATAAAAATAATGTAATAGTCATAAAATAAACTTTTATTATCCAACTTATCACTTACCAAAATTTATTTGATCGTAAGTTCAAAATGCTAAAAAATTAAATTCTAACAAATTTTTATTAAGAATTAAATTTAAAAAGTGCATCTTTTAAAAATAAAAAACATTATTAAGTCAATAATTATTTCTATTAGTTGTAATTTAAGAATAAACTTTTACTTTAATCTTACAATATTGTTCAAATTAATTTCTTAAAATTAAAATTTTAAATGTTAATATATAATATTAACAACTATTAATCAACTTTAAGTATCATTTACATGTTGAGAATTTTATTTTTGAAAGTATTATTTAGTGATGTACTAAATAGTAAAATGAAGTAAGATGATTTTTAACACTTTTTTAATAAAAATACACTATATTTTGTTTAATTTTATATCATATTAATTTTTACTGAAAAAAGTTGCTAAAACCATAAAAACAACAAATTATATTTTAGTACTTTAATTTTTAAACGCTTAATAAGCCAATTATTTTTATTAGTTCTAAGTAATTTTGTTAATGACATGCATAATTAAATGAAAGGAGACAATTAAAAAAAGTGAAAAATATTAAAAAAATATAGTACAACATGTGAACATGTGTGTGTAAGTATAATATATTACTAAAAACAGTTTAGTTTGGAGATTTGTATCCTCAACAGTTTTAGTCAAAACTGCATCTTGTAATATAAATTTTCTTAAACAAATTTGACAAAAAAGTGATTTTGTTTGAGAAAAAAAATTCGCTTAAGTTAAAATTACAAAAAAAATTTAGAATTTCATCTTCTTTTATAAGTTATCGAAGATTTGAGGAACTTTTGTACAATATTATATCGTCATACTCCAAAAACCTATAGCTCTTAAATTATTATAATTATTTCTTAACTAATTTTTTAAAATCATTGTTTCTATAATAATTTTTAATAATTTAATTTAATTTCAAATAGTTATACTTTATCATCAATACTTAATACAAGTAACACACTAAAAATATATTTGACGAATATTTAATAGAATGATATATGAAAGAGTCTATAGTAACTAAGTAGACATTAATAAAAAAAAAAAGTTCTTCAAATTCTCTGTAATTTAAAAAATAAGATAAAAATTTAAAATTTTTAACAATTTTAACTCTAGCAAAATTTTTTATTTAAACAAAAATACTTTTTTTTATTAAATTCACTTAAATAAATTTAAACTATAAGTTACCGACTAAAATTACAGAAAATCTAAATCACTAGTTTGACCAAAAAATCATTCTCACGCAGGGATGAGAACCAATGAAGGCAAAAGATTTTGTATAATATAAAAATATAATTATGTTTTTTTAATATTTTAAAATTTAAATTTATTTTTTTATTTTTATTTTGTCTGTTTATTTTAAAACCTCGATTACTAATTCAATGCAATAATAAAAATTATTTAAAATTATTTTAATTAAAATTTTGAATTTTGTAACCATTACTGTCTATAATTATTAACTTAGGTGACAATCCCACCTAATATTATTATTATTGATGAAATTAAGTTTTTATATCATTTTTATTCCAAATTTTCATTTAATTTTTAATTTTTAATTTTTTTAAAATAAAGATAAATTCAATTAATAGTTTACATGAAATTTATCTGTTATTATATAAAAAGATATATTAAAAAATATTTTTTAAAGAAATATAAATGTTTTTAAGAAATAATATTTAAAACAAAATTCTCAATAGATAAATACGTAGTCGTACACTAACCACCCATCGAACGTAAGAATGCGGGTTTCTTTGTTAGCCAAATAAATTAGCACATTGCACAGCTATCCGCATCTTTCATTTTCAATAAAAGATTTGTATCTATCTTTTTAGATTACTATCCAGTATTTCAGAGTTAGCTACTTCACAATTTCAGTTTGGTTTTGGTGATTTTGTGCAGAGATGGAGAACGAGGTAGTTCTGTTGGATACATGGGCAAGCATGTTTGGGATGAGGGTTCGAATTGCATTAGCTGAAAAGGGTGTTAAGTATGAATACAAGGAAGAGAATCTTAGGAACAAGAGTCCTTTGCTTCTTCAGATGAACCCTATTCACAAGAAAATTCCAGTTCTCATTCATAATGGCAAACCCATTTGTGAATCTGCAATTATTGTGCAATACATAGATGAGATCTGGAACGACAAGGCTCCACTCATGCCCTCTGATCCTTACCAGAGAGCTCAGGCAAGATTTTGGGTTGATTATATTGACAAGAAGGTACCTCCTTTTACTTGTGATTTCTGTTTTTATGATCTTGTTCGCTTCAATTTAATTATTTTGGACTCGTATCCACTCTCAATTCTCAATTCTGGACTAGTGATGTGTTTGTGTATGGTTTTTTAAATTAATTGTAGATTAATTTAATTTTTTAAAATTAATTTGGATTCATATCAAATTTCGTTTCAAACAAGAGTCCAAATGGGGATATAGAATTAATTTTTAATAATTTTTTATATTTTGGTAGGAGTAGTATTAGATCTTGATATTTTGTTTGTTAATTTCTATTTATTACCACTAATATTTTTTTATATTCATTCTTCATTGCAGATATATGATACTTGGAGGAAAATGTGGCTTTCTACAGGAGAAGAGCATGAGGCATGGAAGAAGGAGTTGATCTCTATCTTGAAGCAGCTAGAAGAGCCACTTGTTGATAAACCCTTTTATGGGGGTGACACGTTTGGCTTTCTTGATCTTGGTTTAATCCCTTTCTACAGTTGGTTTTACACTTTTGAGACATATGGCAACTTCAAAATGGAAGCAGTGTGTCCTAAACTAGTGGCTTGGGCCAAGAGATGCATGCAGAGAGATACTGTGGCCAAAACTCTTCCTGATGAGAAGAAGGTGTATGACTATGTTGTGGGAATAAAGAAAGCACTTGAATCTAATTAGAGGAACTTCATGAATCAATCCATTAATGACTTGCTTATTAGATATGATATTGTAACGTCTTTTGTATTTTTACCATGTGTTCGCTAGGCTTGAGTTACGTGTGCCTTGTTAGACACTTGAGTGTGTCTAGAGGATTTGAATCAGATGAAAGATTAATGTTGTAATGTTTTTTTTTTTTTTTTTTTTTTTTATGTTGTGCATTTATGATCAGTAAAAGGCTCATTTTATAAAAGCTTAAAGAGAATGTTGAAAATTATTTAATAGGTTCTTTTCAGACGCGAATATATTGTACAAATTTGACCACAAAACTTTTTAGTATAAGTTAAAAAGAGCTTTTTTTTAAAAAAAAAAATTATACTGAATGCACTCTAAGTAGGTTTCTTATCAATACCATTTCAGCTTTCTCATCTATTTGCAGCTAGTTGAAATAACTCTCTGATAGTTCAAGAGACTACACAATTTGGTGTTTGAAATCTTGAAGTCACAAAAATTCATGCTTCTATGAGACGTGGGTTCAAGATTAGAAAATACCCCTCATACCATTTGGTGCATGATAATTTGGTGGGTTGTCAGTCAGCTTCAAGGGAGAGTTTGGCGTGAGAAATATTTTGTAGTTCCTGTGAATGATATTTTTTGGGTAGTCGTGTTTTTGAGAATTCTAGTTTCTAGAAATGTTCTAAAAGTGATTTTTTTTTTTTCCATTAATGATTCTCTATATAAACATAAAATAAAAAAGTGGTATCTTAATAAAAGTAGAGCTCAGAGTGATTGCTGCCAACTCTAGTCACAAATTTGACAATTTAAAGCAGATACAACTGCCTGAATGATTTCTGCTCTACATTACCTGCCCTTGAACGGATCTTCAACAAAACTACTATTTCATTTGTTAACTCTTCAAGATATTATAATCAAGTTCGTGTATAATAATGGAGGGTCTAAAAGTGTTAGCTGGGATGCTGAAGTTCAGGATTCAACAGTGGACCTATTTCACATTGGTATCAAGACTTGGAAGATATATTCAAGAAGAAGACAATAGTATTCTGTTAGCATTGGTTTATTAAATAACTTCGCATTCTGTTATTAGGAAAGATATGAATTCTGTTATCAGGAGATTAGATAAGATTATTAAGATAGAATAAGATTGAATATGAATTTGTTAGGAGATTTAATAGATTAATATTTAATTTGAATTTGTTAGGAGGGAAATTTTTTTCCTTCTTTATTATCTGTACTGTAATTCTTATCCATTAATAAAAGTTCTTAGTTTTCTGTTCTTTCAAGAACTCCGAACAAAAGTAATAATTTTAAAAATAATGAAACTCACAACTTAGATAGCTGTGAATAGCCAATAATTCCTTATAAGCACTAGTATTTAATGCATTAGAATTACCATAAGATCAATCAGCAACAATATTACTGCAAATACAAGCCGTTCATCACTTCTGAAGGTAAAAACAAAGAAAATGTGCATTAAGGTTTAAGCCACCCCATCCATCTCAAGTCCTCATTAGAAATTTAATATCATGGTTCTTCTTGATTCCAATGACTATCAACATTTTCTGATTAAAAAAAGGGGGGGAAACCAAGGGGTAAAAAAAATACTAAGTAGACATCTATTAAGGTAGAGCAACACAACTAGCACATACAAGGCGCAGACACACGTCCACTGGAAATTCATTCTCTCTCTCGAACAATGAGTTTATGTAACAAAATCTTGTTTATATTGTCAGCTCGAATGCAACATGAAATTATCAAGGCCAAGTTATTTCTCTCGAACTTCTCCTTCAATTCTTCTCATTAGCAGGGCTAATCCCTGAAGTGAAAGAATTTGCTTTGGATTGTCTAAATTTTTGTCCTCATCAAAACCACTAGGTCGGTCCAAAATGTAAAATGGTGCCACTTGACTGCGTTGCATTACAAAGAGGGTCTTGTTAAAATTCTAACACCTGAATTATTAGTGCCGCCCATTCCCCAGATAGCATCAGTTTTGCCAGTGGCTTTGACAGATAAAGCACAACTGCAGCTTCTAGAAACAGGCTATTGCCTGAGGATCAAAGTTTCAGTATAATTTGTCTAATTGCATCATTTCTTCCTTTAATTCTGCTAAAATTAAGGCAAACAACACCTCTAGGATAGCTTTAATTACACTAGGTTGTGTCAGTGCTTTTCAATGAGAGGACACCAGGAGAGTTCAACAAAGGTTTGGTAACTACACCAATGGCAAATTCCCATCCACTTAGGATATTTGATGAACATAGAGTTGTAAAGCTCCAACATAGTCTTTTGAAGAACAGTCAAAGCATTCTTGGATTTATAGTTGCTGTTCCCCAAGCTCTCCCTTGGTATGAACCAGCAAGAAAGGCACTGAAAGTAGTCCAATGTATGTAACACCAGCCATAATTGAGCCTGATTCTTGTCAATTTGGCTTGATTATCTTCTGTCAACAGCAAGAAAGGAGATTAAATTTCTGAAATGCAATTCTTCATTTTGAATCAAGATTTCCAATTATGAATCGAAGGCACTGAAACTAACCTGTACTTGACTGCATTTGTATAATTGGAATTCTGAAATGCAATTTTCCATACAAGTGTTCATCAACCTCGACATGAACCTGAGGAAGCTTCATCAATCATCAGAATTTGATTCATATTCAGTTTCACTTCCAATTTCATATCCAGCTTCACCTTTAATTTCAGAATGTTCTTCCGAGTTGAATGTGAATTTCATCTCTTGGCTAACTAACTCAGCAAGGTCCTTCCTGCTGCAAATTTTATAGGCATCTATAATTGCATTGAACAAAGACTCACTCAATTCTATCTCTCCATATTCTACCTGACTATATATTCGTTTTACACCTTCAACCATGCCAGCTTTTCCATAACAACCTACCAGATAAATATAAGTTACAAGGTCAGGTCCCACATTCTCATCCCGCATTTTCATATATACATTCAAGGCCTTGTTGATATCTCCAGCAGAAGTAAATGCATAGATTGCCACATTATAGGCAGAGGAGTCAAGATCAACCCCAGATTCTATGAAAGTTTGGACAGATTCAAGTGCCAAAGTATGCATACCAACTAAAGAGTACAAGGCAGTGAAAGCTGCTTGCCGAGCATAAGGTTTCCCCTCCTGGTAAGATGACTCTAACTGCGCCACTGCTTCAGAGGGAATCCCTCCCTTCTTCAGTATAGTAAATAACACTTTAAAAGTTCCATCATTTGGCAATAGCTTCTGAGCTATCATTTCATGTATTAATTCACCACACTCATAAAATTGCCCATTAGCAGCATAACACACCAGTACCTTATTAAATGAAACACAATCCCTCAGTAAGCCTGACAGTTTCATCTCCTCTGCAATCTCAATTGCCTCATCAATCAAGCCCACATCTTTATAAAGATACATCATTGTTGCATATGAAATAGCATCAGCATGGCCCATTTCTCTCAGATTGTCAAAAGCCAACTTGGCTTCAGATACCAATCCAAGATCAGCAAAGAGACCAATCATACTATTACATGCAACTAAATCAAGCCCCCCTTCCAAGTTCTTCATCCGCTCATATATGGATTTTGCTCCTTCCAAGTTTCCAACCTTACAATAAGACTTTAGAAGGGATGTTAGCACAACTAAATTTGCTGATAATCCAGATTCTTCCATCATGCAGAAGTACTGAAGTGCCTCTTCAAGACTACCATGCTCTGCAAATCCATTTATTAAAGATCCATACACAACCTCATTTGGTTTTACTCCAGCTCTTACCATTTCCTGGTGCACACTGACCGCATCAGAAAGCTGACCAAGGCGAGTATAGCACCCAATAATCGCGGAAAAAGTTTGACAATGTGGCTTAAACCCCATTTCCTGCATTTCAATCATGAGGTCCCTTGCTTGGTCCACTAAATCAGCACCAGATAACATTTGTATAAGAGAATTATATGTGCTATCACCAGGCCAAATCCCATGATTTTTCATTCCCTTGAAGAGAGAGACAGCTTTTTCATAAAGTTTTGCTTTGCCATATGCTTTAATCATAACATTGTATTCTATAACATCCCTTTTCTTTCCTGACAAGTCCCTTTCCCTATGAAACAAATTCTCTGCTTCAGCCCAAAGTCCATTTTCAGCAAAAGCATCCATAATTGCAGCACAAATATTTGATGACAGTTCCCCGTTCATTTGAAACTTCTGAACCAAGTCATTTGCTTTATCAAGAGCCCCTTCATTAATATACATCGCGACAATACCCGGAAGAGAATGTTCATCAACAGAAACAAAAGACTTCTCCATTTCATCAATTACAGTTTCCGCAACCTCAACCATGTTCTTTGCACATAATGCACCAAGTAGAGCTCTGTAAGTTACATCATCCGGAAGAAGGCCGACCTCTCTAATCTTTCTATAACAAGCAAGAGCAGCATCAATATTCCCCGCATTAGCATACAAAGACAAAAATATGTTATAAGTTTTTGTATCTGGGGACACGCCCTTTTCTTCCATTTTTCCAAGCAAAGATTCAGCTTCCACCAAATTACCATGACTTCCACAAATAAAGATCATAGTATTAAAAGTGTAAGTATCCATCACCACTCCGGAATTTAACATGTCCGCAAAGACATCAGCAGCATCTTTCAGCCGCCCGGCCTTGCCATACAAATCTATCAGGGTATTATAAGTGGAAGAGATTCGCGGTTTCAACAGCATATTCTCCACATTCAACTCATTCACAGTAGTAGAAGCAGCAATCCTCCCACCTATCTTAAATAGCTCAGTGGAAAGAAAATGCTTGAAACTAATAGACATTGAACTTGACCCATTAGCACTAAACACTAAGGAATCCTTCAAATCAAGATCATCCAACTCAACCCTCCCATTACACCAACCCTTATAAAACCTATGAGCCCTGTCGAATTCCCCCACATCCTTCAACACCTTAACAACCGTGCTCATTGTGACCTCATCAGGGAAAAACCCTCTCACCCTCATGTGCTTAATCCACAAAAGCGCTTCTTGCACAAGACCCGCTTTACCATACACATCAACCAGCATGCTATAAGTGTTGTTTGTTGGCAAAACACCATTTTTCGCCATGTCTATCCAACAAAGCCGCAATTGGTCCCATTGTTGAGCCTTTCCAAGGGCTCTAAGCACCACGTTGTAGTGAATCACGTTTGGAACATACCCTTTTTGTGATTTGAACCATTCAAAAACCCTCACCACACTTTCCCACTTGCCACTTTGTTCTTTGAGAATAACAGTGATTTCTTTTGGGCCTAGATTCTGGCGAAAGGAATCAAGGGTCTCTTCAATGTTGTTATTAGCCATATCAAGTAACCTTAAAATTGAAGGTAATATGCCGCCATAGTTCTTTTTCCTTTTCTTCTTGTTACCGTTCGTGGGGGTCGGTAAAGGTAGAGTCTTTGAGTGGAAACAACAAAAATGGGGACAGACCCACCTCGAGTTGAGGGGTAACAAGTGACCACAGAGAGTTTTTGTGAAAACGTTGTCGGTAACAGAGTTCGTAGAAGACAAGGAAGTGGAACAAGAAGTTCTTACAGGGAATGTACCTGCGAACATGGTTGTTGTGGTTGTGGCGGTGAAGTGAGGAAGAGAAGAGAGGTTGATGAGAAAACCGCAACGAAAGTAGAGTACCAAGACAAAATTCACAACGATTTTTTGTATGGGGTTTGGTAAAATGGTCACCGCGATTAGGGTTTAAGATGAATTGAGATGATAATATTTGATAATAGAATATGTATAAAGTTGTTAAATTTTTTATTATTCATTTTTCAATCTGGAAACTTGAGTATGCTCAGTCATTTTTAAAAATTAAAATATTTATATCATAGACAAGTTCTTTATTAAAAAATTATTTAAATATTAAAATAGTAATTTAAAATGAAACTATAATTTTGTCTTCCATCCATAGTGTTTGCTCTAATCACGTAAACTTCAAAAATATGGCTGTAAAAATATTTTATTAATACTTATGGTTTTTTTAATATTTTAAAGATAAAAAATATTAATATTTTTTTAATTAAACCAGTAATTTCATTATCTATCGCTATAAAATTATCAGTTAGAATTATTCTATATGTAAAAAATATATCAAATCCTCTCAATGCAAATGTATGTAACTTTTTAAGCAAAAATAATATTTACTTCCTTTTTATTTATTTTAATTTTTTAATTTATAAAAATATTTTAAATACATTTTTCTTTAAATATTCTAACTCCGTTGCAATGTTTTGTTATTTTATATTTTCTTTTGTCTTTCTCTAAATTTCTGACCTTCATATTTCTCTTTTCTCTCTCTCTCTCTCTTTTTATCTTTCTTCTTCCATCTTTCTCTCTTATCATGCCAAATTTTCATCAAACAACTCCTTAAGTTCTATGCACCAACTTTAGTTTATGGGTTTCATTTTTCAATTCTAATAATATTTTCTCTTTTTTTCAATCATTTCAAATCTTTTTTGACATCCTCAATTGTTATGAGGCTGTTTAATGTTCTTGCATGCAAGTCCTTAACTTTTACCTCTTTTAGACTTAAGTATTAAACTCGAAGATATAATGATAAAGATGAGCCTTGTGAGTCAGAGGAGCAGGGTCATGTATCTTCCAAGGCTTTGGCTTAGCATGTTAGCTATTAAATGATTAAGAAAATTCATAATTCTAATTCTTGATTGAGGTGAAGGGTTGTGTGCTTCTAAGCTTTAATTTTTCCAATAGATGGATGAAGGACTCTTCTTAGAAGAGAACATCAATGCAAGAAATTTGTAAAAGTTGTTTGATGTAAAATTTAATAACAAAGAGATAAGATAAGAAAGAATGATATGAAGATATAAATGAAAGGGAGAAGGAGAAAAAAGAAATACCTAAAATAAAATGAACGAAATTAAAGTTTTGAATGGAGAAAAATAACATACTTGAAATATTTTTATAAGTTAGAGAATTAAAGTAAAAAAAAAAGATGAAATAAAAAACTAAGGACAAAAATACTAGTTTTATTTTTTTTACGTATAATATTAATTATTTAAAATTTATTAATTATAATATCAATTACCCTTTAAAACCCATCAGGTTTAATAAAAAAAATTATTTGAAAATTTTAATAAGTTTGTAAAATGAAATATAATAAAAATGAAGGGACAGTTATGTTATAAAAATAAAAAAGAAAACAAAAACTATTTTTTAAAAACAAACAAGTCCTTAAAGTTCAACTGACAATTTCAATCAACGGTATAAGGTTTGACATGTGGTTTCAAACTGGGATTTCAGTTGAAGATTTAAAGTTCATCTTTCAAAGTTGTACAGGATAATGAGTCAAATTATGAGAATGTTATGAATTACCAACTTTTAGTTCTTTAATAATTTCTGAACTAAAAAAAAATGTCTGAACAAAAATATAAAAGATCAATGTCAGATAATAAGGGGCTAATTAAGATTTGGTATTAAAGTTTTTCTAAACTTGAAAATAACATAGAATTTATCTTAACGAATAATTGGATTTTTAAAAATATTGATAAAGATTCAATTTCTAGTAAAATAAAGTTCACTTCAATAATTTATATGCTACAAAGAAATTATTTTCCAAATATCACTTAAGGAATCTCCTTGGTCTATTTATCCTCCAAAATTTGCAATATCAAATAACTTAAAATATCATATTTTGTGTCTTTCAAAATAAAAAGATATTTAATATCACAAAATTTAAAAAAGCAATGATTGAGTCAAGTTTTTACATCTTCCTTGTTATCAATGGTCAGAAATTTAGATTTGGATAAGCATGCCCATTATTAAGAGAAGCTGAAGATAAAAAAGAGCCATTAAATGTATGTAATTTTGTTCATAGCTTAGTTAATATGGTGATAGTTTATATTGTATTATTAGAAACATGTTTAGTTTAATTAATTGCTAGTTTAGACACAAATATGAAGTGCACCTTAATTAATAAACTTTGATTTTTGAACCCAAAAAAAAAATAAATCAATTAAACATAAATACATTCTTTGATTGTAATTTTTCTTTTTTAATATTTATATCAATATTTTCTTACATTTTTCTAGCTATTTAACATTTTCTTCTATTCACAATAATTTGTTTACAACTTTCTATTACTAATTTTATGCCTTTAGTTTTATCCACAACTGAATTTCACATTAAGCATATCTTGGAAATAATTACAATTTTGTGTGTTTGGACGATACATAAAATTGAAAAATTGAAAAAATAGAAACATAATAAAAAATAATTTATTTAAATGTTTAATCTTGAGAGGAAAACAAGTAAAAAATCATTCCACCTACTTAAATAAATGAAAAAGAGAATAAAAATAAGAAAATTATATAAAATAATAATAAATTTAAATTTAAATATAAAAAGTTAAAGTTTATAAATATTTTTTTTATGATAAACAAGGTATTTTAATGGTATATCAAACTATTTAATATTAAAATATATGAAGATAAAAAATAAATAAAATTAGTCTACTTCTTCCCATTTCTCTCACCTTAAGATAAACAATTAAAATTAATTCAATTAATTTATTATTATTTTTTCATCTTCTTCCCTCAATTAAAAATAGAATATATTCTGCTTTCTTAACAAAATTATACTAACAATACTAAATTTATTAAAAATTAAAAAAACTATATAACTTTGTTTTTTTCATTTTTAAATTAATAATTTTCTCTTATATTTTTTAATTTTTAATAATTTTTATTTAACAATAAAAAATATAAAAAAATATCTGACTAATCATCCTCTTCTTATAATAACTTTCCTCCCTCCTGATTAAATAATTTTCATTAGACTGAATAAAGTGTTGGGAAACAAATTTTCTTTCATGAAAATCGAGAGAAGAGATGTGATGTATTTTTTATTTATTTGAGTTTATAAAACCACTAAAAATTTCATATAATATAAAAATATTATAATTTGAAAATGATTTATTTTTCTTATTTTATTTTTATCAAAACAACACTTTTTAATTTTTTTTCACTTTTTTTTTCTTTATTTTATCTTCCTTCTAACACGTGGAGTCTTTAGAGGGTATGATGGAGCAGGTATACTGAAGAGACGTAACGTAAATGCAAAGGTCTCTCTATCTGTCGCATTTCAGAACCACGTGTACATTCGGATCCGCAAATGCGGATATTTGCTTTATAGATTATTTGAGATTAAACGTGAAACTTCTTTTATTGACATCAACAAAGCATTAAGGAGTTACAAATAAAGCATTTTATTGAAAATACACTAATATTTTTTTAACATCGTTTTAAATAAATTTTATTTATTTAACAAACTAATTTTTTTACAGTAAAAATTAATAATATATAATAAATTTTTAATGTATATTTTTTATTTTTAATGAAATTGCTTACTATTATTTTTGTAGTTCAACATCACTGACAAGACCGGTTTGTTTTCGGTCGAAGGTTGTGTCTATGACTATCTATATAAGTGATCAATTGTCTTATGAATTACACAACCACTGCACTTCTCGATAGTTCACAGGTTTTGGTGATTTTGTGCAGAGATGGAGGACGAGGTAGTTCTGTTGGATACATGGGCAAGCATGTTTGGGATGAGGGTTAGAATTGCATTAGCTGAAAAGGGTGTTAAGTATGAATACAAGGAAGAGAATCTTAGGAACAAGAGTCCTTTGCTTCTTCAGATGAACCCTATTCACAAGAAAATTCCAGTTCTCATTCATAATGGCAAACCCATTTGTGAATCTGCAATTATTGTGCAATACATAGATGAGGTCTGGAACGACAAGGTTCCACTCATGCCCTCTGATCCTTACCAGAGAGCTCAAGCAAGATTTTGGGTTGATTATATTGACAAGAAGGTACCTCCTTGTACTTGTGATTTCTGTTTTTATGATCTTGTTCTGTTCAATTCAATTTTTTTGGACTCGTATCCACTCTCAATTCTGGATTAGTAATGTGTTTGTGTATGGTTTTTTAAATTAATTTTAGATTAATTTAATTTTGCAAAATTAATTTGGATTCATATCAAATTTCGTTTCAAACAAGAGTTCAAATGGGGACATACAATTAACTTTTAATAATTTTTCATATTTTGGTAGGAGTAGTATTAGAACTTGATATTTTGTCTGTTCATATCTGTTTATTACCGTTAATATTTTTTAATATTCATTCTTCATTGCAGATATATGATACTTGGAGGAAAATGTGGCTTTCTACAGGAGAAGAGCATGAGGCATGGAAGAAGGAGTTGATCTCTATCTTGAAGCAGCTAGAAGAGCCACTTGGTGATAAACCCTTTTATGGGGGTGACACATTTGGCTTTCTTGATCTTGGTTTAATCCCTTTCTACAGTTGGTTTTACACTTTTGAGACATGTGGCAACTTCAAAATGGAAGCAGAGTGTCCTAAATTAGTGGCTTGGGCCAAGAAATGCATGCAGAGAGATACTGTGGCCAAAACTCTTCCTGATGAGAAGAAAGTATATGATCATGTTGTGGGCATGAAGAAAGCACTTGAATCTAATTAGAGGAACTTCATGAATCAATCCATTAATGACTTGCATATTAGATATGGTATTGTAACGTCTTTTGTATTTTTATCATGTGTTTGCTAGGCTCGAGTTACGTGTGCCTTGCTAGACACTTGAGTGTGTCTAGAGGATTTGAATCAGATGAAAGATTGAGGTTGTAATGTTTTTTTTTTATGTTGTGCATTTATGATCAGTAAAAGGCTCATTTTATAAAGCTTATAGAGAATGTTTAGAATTATTTAATAGGTTCTTTTCCGACGCTAATTTATTGTAAAAATTTGACCACAAAACTTTTAGTATAAGTTAAAATGAACTTTTCTGTAATTTAACTGAAAAAATTATTAAAATAAGATTAAAAGTGCTTATTAGGAGTTATAAACTGTTTTCATAAGCTCTTCTAAATGCACTAAAGTGGATTTCTTATCAAAACAAGCAGCTGCAGCCATGAATTATGCTCTCCAATTCATCCCTATCCATACATTTTTCTCTGCAACCTACTCTTTCTCTACCATTTTTATTTTCACAACTGAAATATTCGTAACAATTGAAATCAAAATGGAGAGACTTTCTCCTCTACCTCCGTTTTGCTGCAACTTACTTTGTTTCTTTCGATAAAATAATATTGATCAGTAGAAAGGGGGGCAGTAAAGGCGATGAGTATGGGATTCCAAAGATGGGTGGCAACGGCCTTTCAGGTGGCGGATTCCCTTATACGGTTCAAGTTCAGGAGTAAAAATATATTAAAAGATTAAAAAGCAGAGTTTTCCCGTAAGTGAAACAGTACATGACATTACCTCAAAATTTTACTAAGGTGGTCCAAAATGTAAAATGGTGCCACTTGACTGCATTGCACTACAAAGAGGGTCTTGTTAAAATTCTAACACCTGAATTATTCGTGCCACCCATTTCCCAGGTAGCATCAGTTTTGACTCTGGCTTTGACAGATAAAGCAGAACTGCAGCTTCTAGAAACAGGCTATTGCCTGAGAATCAAAGTTTCCGTATAATATTCTTCATTTTGAATCAAGATTTCCATCTATGAATCAAAGGCACTGAAAACTAACCTGTACTTGACTGCATTTGTATTCGTCTCCATACAATTTTTCATCAACACAAAGGAAATTAGTACATACTTGTTGGAAAAAAGTTAAATTTTCTATAAAGTTTTTCTGTAGTACAGAGAACTAGGATAATATAATTACAACACAAAAATTAACATTATGAAAACTTTAAAACTAAAAAAGAAACACCCATGACAACTAGAAAATAAAACTACATAAAAATGTTTATAATATTTAGACTTTTCATTTAACCACGTCAAGTGCTTATCTCACAATACTATCAAATATATAAAATAAATAAAAAAAAGTTATATACAAATTTAAAATATTTTTAATTAACGCAGCTTGAGAAAAAAATAAATCAATATATAATCTTTCTCTCAACTAACTCCATCAATACTAATATATAATTATATATATTGAGGCGGTTCAATAGTTTGGCCCTTCCCTGATGTACTTGCAGATCAATTAAAAATATACAAAGCATTTCTATAATTATTACTTTTAATATCTTTAAAATAATTTTAATTATCCATGCGTTAGGTTGGGTACAATACATCGATTTTATAAATAGAAGATACTTAAGTAGGAGCCTAATCATAATTTTTTCATAATTTATCAGTTAGGTGAACCAGAACGTCACACAATATAAAATGTTGACTTTTACTTTATAAATGAGAAGCTATATTGGTATCTTAAAGAGCATATAGAGTTTGTGCTAGCTCACAATTTCGTTGTGATTTTGATTTTGATTTTGATTTTGGTGATCCTTTGCAACAATGGCAGATGAAGTGGTTGTGTTGGATAACTCGGTTAGCATATTTGGGAAGAGAGTTAGAATTGCATTAGCTGAAAAGGGTGTTAAGTATGAGTACAAGGAAGAGGATCTCAGGAACAAGAGCCCTTTGCTTCTTCAGATGAACCCTATTCACAAGAAAATTCCAGTTCTCATTCATAATGGCAAACCCATTTGTGAATCTGCAATTATTGTGCAATACATAGATGAGGTCTGGAACGACAAGGCTCCACTCATGCCCTCTGATCCTTACCAGAGAGCTCAAGCCAAATTTTGGGTAGATTTCATTGACCAAAAGGTACCTCCTTTGATTTGCTTTCATATGATTTCTATTTTTATTTCTTCTAAATTTCGGTGGGTTCAATTCAAAATTAAGATTAATGTTTTGGTTACTATAGTCCACTTTCAACTCTGATTAGAAGATGTATAATATTTACTTGTCTAAAAGGAAAAAAATATTAAGGGGGTCTAAATTAGGCTGAATAAATTATTGGTTTTTTAATCTATATTTTTAATACCCAAAAAAAAGTGATATTCAATGCAGTTGTATGAAAGTTGGAAGAAAATGTGGCTTTCTAAAGGAGAAGAGCATGAAGCTGGGAAAATGGGGTTGGTCTCTAGCTTTAAGATACTAGAAGAGACCTTGGGTGACAAACCTTTTTATGGGGGTGACACATTTGGGTTTCTTGATGTTGGTTTTATCCCTTTCGCTAGTTGTTTTTATACTTTTGAGATGTTTGGCAACTTCAAAATGGAAGAGGAGTTTCCTAAACTCTTGGCTTGGGCTAAGAGATGCATGCAAAAAGAGACTGTGTTCAAATCACTTCCTGATGAAAAGGTGATGTATGATCGTGCTTTAGCCTACAAAAAATCACTTGGATTGGCATAGGGGAACCTCATCATCATCCAAAACCATTCAAGATTTGCTTGTTAGAAATTATGGTATTGTAAGATCTTTGAGCAATTGTATTATGTTTGCTAGGTTTGGGTTACTTTATGGTGTGCTAAACACTTGGCCTGTCTACAAGATTTAGAGCTGATCAAGAGGGGTTAAAGTTATGTTTAATTCATTTAAAATAAAAGGCTCATCTTGTTTGACATATAATAAATGTTTTATATACTAAACTATATATATTATCGTTTCAACTCTCACGCAGTAGGAATGGTTATTTAATTTATATATAATGGATGCTTATAATAAATACTCAAGATAAAGAAGAAAAAATATATGTTAAATGAATATGAATTCAAGTCCAGATATTTATTCATAAAAGTTTATGAGAATGGATGCAGGTATAAATACTTCACCGCTCATTCAAAATTATACTTGCATATTGTTAAATTTCTAATTTAATTACACTTTTAGTGTTATAACTTTATAATCACTGTTCACAAATTCAATCTTAATGATATATTCTTCTTACCTCGAAATTGAAAGCCGCTAATCCCCTTGAGTCAACTCAATTGGCTAAGACATGGGATATGAACTGAGTGCACAAATTTAATCCTCTGCAATACACTTCACCCTCTCCCATTATTTTATCCCCTCTCCTGTAAGGTTAAGGTTTATTAAGAGTTTTCTTTTGAGAGTGTGTTTGGGAGGAAGTTTTTAGAGAGAATGACATATTTTTTAATTTTAAATTAAAAAATTATATATTATTTATGATAATAAATATATTATTAATATATTAAATTTTTATTAATATATTAAATTATATTTTTTATTTTTAAAAAATATTAATTTTAAATATATTTATTTAAACTTTAAATTTATATTTGCTTTTTCCTTTTCCTCTAAAATCCTATTCCCAAACAACCCTTAGGACTCAAAAGTTGAAAAGCTTAATTATTTATTGTTATTCTTCTTTGTGGTTGTATTGTTTCTGTAAGTGGTGGTTGAGAAGAATCATTAGTTGACTTTCTAAACAATCTCATCATTAAATAGCACTTTTATTAAATATGGATATTTAATTTGGGTAGAGATGTCTAAATATTTATAGAATACTAAAAATGATATCATAGTTATTATTTATGTAGATATTAGGATTCAAAAATATATATATTTTTAATGTAGATATGAATGAATTTTAAAATATCCTATTAAATTTAAGTGACATATTTACTCATTGTTTAGTTAAAATGTCTTGATGATGAAGCTTATAATGTATTTAGTATATAAGTTAATTTAATGCCTAATTTTATATGATTTGATAAAATTTTAATTTTAATGTTATGTACGTTTAGTGTGATGTAATATAATAAAAGTTTATTATTATGCAATGATTGGTGTGTTACTGTATAAGATATTATGTTTTATAAATAATTATAAATTATGGCTTGATTATATTTAGTTGAAATGTCTTGATAATGATGTTTACGATGTATTTAGTACATAACTTATAATAACACTTTGTCAATATAATGCCTAATTTTATATATTTGATAAAATTTTAATGTTACGTACGTTTGTGTGATGTTATATAAGAAAAGTTTAATATTATGTAATAATTAGTGTGGTGTAATATAAGATATTATGTTTTTTTTTTATCAATAAAGGTTATTCAAGTAACAAGCAGCTCAATATTTTATTAAAGGTATCGGATTCAATTTGTCCACCACATTTAAGTATGCGATTCAAATGAGATTCAGGTTAAATTGGATGAAAAAATTATATATTTTTTAGGTTGTTCTCGTTTATTAGTTGAAACATCTTTCCTCTGGAAAATCCCTTCAAAGGCTTGAACTTTACGCTAATTCCTTGGAGAAGAACACATTGGCTATCTCCAAAAACATCTCAAGAATTCTGGGTCGTGTTCAAAATCCCAAATTGATTGAATTGAATTGCAATTTTGGGTCGCACTATGGTAGCTCAGAAGAGTGTGAGGAAGGGGTTGGAGATGAGTTACACTGACTTGAAAAGTCCTCGGCAGCCGCCGTTTCTGTTCATTCGTACTTATCAGAAAATATCTTATTGTTTTGAGTATTTATATTTTTATACTTTTTTATATTTATCCTATGTATTTTTTATTATATTATCTGTTATACTTTTTATTTCTTTTCTGATAAACATATAAACTATTTTTTTAACTCGTTATAGTAAATTTCAAAGTCAAGTTCAGAATTAAACTCTCATCTACTTATTAATTAAATTATTTACTTAATATTACTAGATTGACACAAGTATCTCTTCTATTGGACCAAAGATAACTAAACTTCCAGTTCCAGGACAGCAACTTGTGTTTTGTACTTTTTGCTCAATTCACTTCACTTTCTCAGTTGAATTATTGGCAGTGGGGCAATGGAGGACAAGACCAAGGTTGTGTTGTTAAGTTCAGGGTTCAGTATGTTTGGGATGAGAGCTAAGATAGCTTTGGCAGAGAAAGGAATCAAATATGAGTACATGGAGGAGGATCTTAGCAACAAGAGCACCTTGCTTCAAGAAATGAACCCAATTCACAAGAAGATCCCAGTGCTCATACATCTTGGGAGACCCATCTGTGAGTCCCTCATAATTGTTGAGTATATTGACATGGTTTGGTACAACAATGCTCCTTTGCTTCCCTCTGATCCCTATCAGAAAGCTCAATCCAGGTTCTGGGCTGATTTTGTAGATCAGAAGGTACCTAGCTGTCTAAACTGTCAATTTTTTTGGTGTAAAATTTTTAGATTTTCAAGATCAGGAAATTACAATATCTATGTCCGAGAATGTTATTATAACAACTCATGCATGCCGATTTGGTTTGAAGTTAAGTAAAATTAATTTTGATGAAATTTATTTTGTACTGCTTAATATGATTGATATATGTGTATTAATTAATTTCAACCATATATTTTTATAAAAACGTGCTTTTTATTAGAAAGTGTGAAAATTACTTTTCCAACTGTAAAATAAACCAGGCAAAAAATGCAGGTTTATCATGCTTCTAGGAGAGTATGGACTTCAAAGGGTGATGAGCAAAAGTTGGCAAAGAAGGATTTCCTAGAGAGCTTAAAGCAATTGGAGGAATTTCTTGGAGACAAGCCTTATTTTGGCGGTGACACATTTGGGTTTGTTGATGTTGCTCTCATCCCTTTCTACTGCTGGTTTTATACTTATGAGACCTTTGGCAACTTCAAAGTGGAGGCAGTGTGTCCAAAACTTATCGCATGGACCAAGAGATGCATGCAAAAGGAAAGTGTATCTGAAACTCTTGCAGATCAGAAGGAAGTTTATGAGTCTGTTTTGGATTATAAGAGAAAGTTTATATTAGACTAAGGGGACTCTGTGAACACATGTATCAAAGATTCAAAATGTAGTAAATTAGCACTAGTTAAGTCACAAGTGAATTTGAATGAAATGCAATCAAACATAAAATTTGAATTAGGCCTACAATTTGCATTGGACACTAAGGCGTGTGAACAATAGTAAACCACTTGCTTCAAACCTTTTTAAGTGTTGTGTCCTTTAGTGGTTTTGTGCATCGTTTTGTTGTGCACTATCCTTCTCGTTGTGCCTAATGTATGCATTTATATAACTTTCACTTGTAAACTAATACCATGATTTTATATGACATTAAATACAATTTGATTGAAATATAACAAGTATGCTGCATTGGCTCGTAAATATCCATTGAAAGGAATATAAGGAGCAAAATCAAAGGCACATTTGAGTGCCACTTTATTATGATGCCATTTTTCAGAAGATACAACAGACAAACAACTAGAGGCAATTATTTTCTAATAGACATCCAGCCTCTAATCTACGCCCTGTTCAAATCCTTTCTCTTCTGAGCAACGTACTCTTGGACCTTTTGCTCCTCTGGAAAACACTTGGAGACACTCTCAATTTGAGTGCACCTCTTAGCCCAAGCAATGATTTTGGGGTACAGGGCCTCATTGATGAAACTGGTATAGGCACTATAGGTATAAAAAAAACAGAACAAAGGAACAAGTGCAACATCCACAAGGCCAAAGTTGTCTCCACCAAAATAAGGTTTGTCCTCCATTTGTTCTTCCAACAACTTAAGATAATCCAAAAAATCTTTCTTCGCAGCTTCTTTCTCTTCTCCCTCAGTTGTCCAAAACTGTATGGCGCTTTCATATACCTATTTCATAGTGGAAAGGTTTAGTGGATAATTTCATATTAAGGTTATTTCTAAAAAAATATAAAAAATAGAACTATCACAATAATAATCATAGAGTACCTTTGTGTCAACATAGTTAGCCCAGAACCTAGCTTGGGCTCTTTGGTAAGGATCAGAAGGCAACAACGGAGATTGATCATTCCATACCTCATTAACATACTCAACAGCAATGAGTGACTCACAAATGGGTTTGCCGTTGTGCATGAGAACAGGTACTTTCTTATGAACTGGGTTCATTTGAAGGAGTAAAGGGCTCTTGTTGCTGAAGTTCTCTTCTCTAATCTCATACTTGATACCCTTCAACTCTAGTGCAATCCTGACCCTCATCCCATAAGGACTTAGCCAGAAATTCAACAGAATCACTTCATCGGCCATTGCTGAGAAAGGAGACTCCAACGAAAGAAAACTAAAGGTGGAAGCAAAAGTGAGTGGCAAAGGAGTTTGGCAAGTCAATATGTAGAGAATGTGGAGTTGGATGAGATGTGAAATGACAATAAACAAGTCCAGGAAAAGAAAAACATAGGTCCCTACCACGGATGTTTCTATGCATATTGAAGTTGTTTCCTTTGATATCATCATCAGTGTCAGTTTCTTGATTGCAGTACCTGATTCAGATGGCTACTGAGACATTTTGTTTGAGTTCTTTTATTATTATTCTTGTAGTTGTTGAGACGGCTAGTGGAACTAAAAAATACAACTACAAACAAAAGCACATAAAATTGGTGATAGGGACATAGAAACCAAGTTCAGACATGGTTAATGTGGCTCCAGCCTGCTTCTTGCCCTTAGAGGTATCACTACCCGATTCCATTCTGAATTTAGATTTACTGCAATTGAAAAATGACAGTTGGAGCATTTGAAGAACGTGTGTCGTTAGATCTTCATCCAATAATAGCTCATATTCAACTACATCTGATTTGTACACACACTAAAATACTAATATTTTACATTTAACTACGGCTTTGTAGAAATACTTATCAGAGAATAAAATAAATAAGAGATTCTCTTAAATTAAATTAATTTATTCTTTTACATTTTTAGAAGTTTTCTCTGTTAACTTCTTATAATATGAGGTATATTTTGACTTATAAAATTTTATTTATTTATTTATTTATTTTACAAGTGATTCTAGAGATTGTGTAGACTTTTAGGTAAATTTTATAAGAGAAAAAATTAATATAAAAAATATATAATCTTTTTATAAGTTAAAAATAATTTATATATTTTTCTATTTTTTAATAAATTTTATTATATTTAATTTTTTATAAGTTTACTCAAATTGGGCCTTAAATTGCATTGATTCGAGATTAACATTAGTGAAACCAATTTATCTTACTTATTGAGATTTAGTATAGTAAAAAAAAAAAAAGATGCAATTGATACAATTGAATGTAAAAGTTTAATATTTTGCACTAGTACAAATTAGATGCCTCAATATGAGTAACTGGATGAAGATAGAACCACACACATTACCAAATGCATCATTTTTGCGCATCTGGATTGCCTGCAGTTTTGGCGAAAACTGTAGGTTGCAATTTGTCATTTGCTTAAGCAAAATATTCTTGTTTAAGCGAACAACATTTAAGCTTGATCACTGTGAAATGCGCTTAAGCGAGCCAGAAGAGACCTGAAGACAAAACTCGTTTAAGCGACACATGTTGGCTTAAACCTTTCTAAGCGAAAAAAAATTAAAGCAAAAATGAACCAAAGAGATATGTTTTTAAGTCACCTATTTCGCTTTAACTAATCATTAATCGCTTAACTATTGTCAATTTGCTCAAGCCATGACTAACGAATTTAATTATTATTAAGCAAATTTGAAACAAAGAGCACAGGTTTCAAGCAATGTAATTCACTTGCGCGAATATGAAATGACTTAAGGGAATTGAGGTAGGCTTGAGCCAGAGTTTTACAAATCGAGAAAAACATTTTTCGCTTAAGCGAGGTTTGTCCGCTAAAGCAAATTTACCAAATAATGCATTAACATGTGCAGACAGCATTTGAGGGGGCCAAAATACACTTGAATACATAATTTTTTTAACTTATATGTTAGACAAAACAATGAAATATAATATAAGGCACCAATTTAGATAAATATTAAAATCCATTAATGAGAACTATAGGAATAAGCATTCAAGAACTACAAATGAAATCCATTACATAACACAAAATGTTGACTCATTAAAATCTATTACAATAAAATCTTAATTATAATCATGCAGCTCCAACATTGTTATCCTCTTGCATGGCTTGTGGCTCATCTCCCACATCATGTTCCCTTCTTCATTTAATTGGTGACCTTCTTGTACATCTCCCCCATCATTGTCCTCAATGTCTTGAATATCCCCGTCAGGTCCTTCCTCTGACTGTCGATCCAAATCCTGTGTAGTTTCTTCTTGAAATGCGAAGGTAAGGTTGTCTCCAAACCATGATACAACTACTACAAAAGCCTCAGGTGTGGGCCATGGGAAAGCAAATTCCTGACCATGATGGTGGTGTAGAGTGAACTTGTGGAAAGAGAAGATGAAGGTAATGAGGGTAATGGTAAAATAACAAATTAGAAGAGTAATTAAAATAATAAAAGAGAGAACATTTACCTGTAGAAGGACTTGTTTAGCTTAGTGTAAACATGATTATATGCTGTCAACTATTGCTTTATGTGACTCAAATGGCATAGGAGACTTGGATCTATTTGTGACATGTCAGGCATGGATGAACGTGTTCATGATTGTGTTGGCTGTGATGTAGGTGGTACAGATAAGGACGATTGAGAAGAATCTCCTACTGGTTGTTTTAATGGATTGGTGCAATAATTTTTGATGAAGTGATAATTGATTGGTTTCTTCATTTAATGGTTTGATTGGAGGTGTTTAGAATGGTAACACCTTGGGAAGTACACAGAGTAATGATTAGTGCTGGAAATCTCAAAGGTTTTGTTGCTAATGTAGTAGTAGAGTTGTTGGACGTTACAAACTGGTGCAACTCATATGAAATTATTGCTGCTATGTCAACAAACATCCTCTCTATAATGTTGTATATCAGATATGCTTGGGGCATTTGGACATCTGAGGTGTGTGTGGTTGGGGCTATGTTGGCAAAGAGAAATGATGTCCAAATTTGGGCCAAAGTATTCAAAGACTGCCTTTTGAATCGCATTGGCTTTGCAGCTGCATTTGTTTCATAGGATTTTTTAAGGATGCATAAGGTCTTAGCTACTCTATCATCCAAAAAACTTGACAAATTCTTTCAACGTTGCTGGTATTAGCATAACTTCCCTTACTCTAAGGTCAAAGGGTTGGCTAACAAGGCTGAAATTACATCTCTGTCATAAGCAACAATGTGTCTTCGAACCCAAGAACTTTGCATAAAATTCTTTGACAATTACCTTATGAATTTGGTTAGGGATTTTTGCCAAGAATTTCCATTTTCTTCTTATAATCTCTTGCATAAACTCTTCATATTGTCCTTCTTCTAAAGAGACCTTCCTCTCAGGTAGTAATTCCCTACATTGCACGTCAAGAAATCTTTGAGCCTTAGTCCTGGTTTTAAACATAAATCTATCCCATGATATGATTTTTGTTTGAGTTTCAGCTTGTGATTATTGATGCTGATTAGTAGGTTCATCATGTTACTGTGAAACTTGTCCAACTTTAGGTCTTTGCCTCTTTCTTTGAGGAATAGACTTCTTTGGTGCCATCCTGAAACCAAAATCAAATTACAGAGGAATAGACTTCTTTGGTGTCATCTTGAAACCAAAATCAAATTACAATATTAAGGTAAAATTGCCTAAGCTCTGTTTTTTTCGTTTAAACCTCTGTATTTTTTGCTTAAGCAAAAGCTTGGACCTTTGGCTTTCCCATGATTCAATATTCGCTTAAGCGAAAACTATAGGCTTCCAACAAAGGCAGTAAAATTAACATTAAATTTAAAAACTTAATGTTTTGAATCAGTCCAACATGAAAACAATAATACTAAAAATGCATATATTACAATATTTAACACATGAAACCCTTATAATCCCATGCAAAAGTTAAGAATAGGAGCATCGTTAGACCAACACGACAAAGAAAGCAATGTTTATCAAAGAGGATTAAAACATTGAAGTCATGCCTTAAGCATGTTTTATGTACCTGAGTAAAAAATGGAAGCTTGCCCTTGAAAATAGAAAAGTTTGGAGAATATTAAAGTTTTGAACTTTGAGAAAACAAAAGAGAAGGCTTGAAATGGAAATGAGACCTGCAGATTCCATTTTTTTAAAAACCAACAGTCGCATATTTTGCTTAAGCGAGTTTTGTTCGCTTAAGTGAAAAGTCACTTAAGCAAAATTTCTCACTTAAGCGTAATTTAAAGCGCATAGGGCTTAAGCAATTTTTGTATAGCTTAAGCAATTTTTACAGGATTGTTGGCGCCAAGGATATATTAGGTTACTTATTTCTAAAGAAAGAGACTTCTTTTATTCTTGCTCTTGGTGAAACATTCAAGTACATGATATTATCAAAAGAAAAGCTTGGTAAGGGCTTATTTGACCCTTACTGTGAGGATAAACTTTGACAAGTTCGTAGCATTCAATTCCATTTCGAGTTAGATTGTGACAAAGGAAGTCTTCAAACATCCTAAAGGTGCACATCTTACCATTACGGGTTGTCATTTAACATTATTGGAATAACTCCTTATCATGTTTATTGTCATGTTATTGGACAGAAGAATGGATGTCGCAAGGAAACTAAGGGTTGGGCAAGAGTTTAAGAGTCTAGAACAAGCACAACAATTTTGGTGTGAATATGGTAGGCTAGCAAGATTTGGAGTCAGAAAATAATATTTTAATAAGCAAAAGGTAAATGGTGTCATTACGAGTTATAGATATGTTTGTTGTAAAGAGGAACATCGAAAATAAAATAAAAGAAATTCCCAAGTCACAAAATATCGACTAGAAACTAGAACTGAATCTTTTGCAAGGATAGCACTGTCTTTGGCAAACAATAACAAATAAATCATTCATCAGTTTGTTGAATAGCATAATCACCTATTACAACTTCAAGAAACAACACACATGTTTGCTTCGCATCATAATATAACCGAAGTTCAAGCTCATGAAATTGATTTGGCTGAGGCCTCCGGATTGCGACAAAAGACATCATTTAAACTAATGAGCACACTTGCAAGAAACTAAGCTAATGTTGGGTATACTCGACTAGACGTAAGAAATTATTTGAAAGCAAAGAGACAAAGATGAATGGTATATGGTGAGGTCGATTGTCTAATGTAATACTTTCAACAACAATTAGTAGACAACCTAGCCTTTTTTCATGCATATCAGATAGATGCGAATGAGCAAATCACAAATGTTTTTTGGACAACTGCAAAGATAGTAATTG